TGATAAGTGGGATTTTATATAAAAACAGAACTTTGTGATTGAATTACAAGTTAACAATATAATAAATGGAAGTTATAAAAATGAGAGTTTGTAAGTGAATTTCAAGTCAAAAAGAAGTTAATGTCTTTCAGTACTATTCTCTATATTTCAAAATAAGCTTTCAATTAAATTTCTATTACACATGTATTAAACGCATTATTACATATTAAAAAAGTTCAATTCATGGCAATTCTTATCAACAACAAACGTAATTGTTAATAATTGTTTTGATAACTTGTTCCATTTGTCCTTTGGGCTGAGTACTTCCGTCAGTTCAGAGCCGTTAAACGTCAGCACAATTCCCAAAACAATTTGTTATATTCAAGCAGGAAAGCACTTGACTCAGTCGTATCAAATATCAGAACTCAGAAAAATTTGTAATCACAAAAAAAAAAACAGATTATCGAGGCAACCTCAGAGCGAACTACTGAAAGACAGCACAAAGGGTAATAGCTTCGACGTATAAACACCCTTGATGGCTCTACCATCTACCGTCCGTCGAACTGCAGTGTAAGAGTTTAATGTGTAAGTATGGAGTTATGAAATCGGTTTATTAGTGACACATTAACAAAGTTAGATATATGAATGTGAGAAATTGACTGCAAATATGTTACTGAGAGCAGCAACGTTTCATTTGGTGTAACAATTTGTCGCCGTCGTCGCTCTAGCGTTTTGCGTAGCTCTCGGAAGGGTGCTCAATTAGGCGTAAAATTTGGAACAAAGGCCATACAAATTTGTATATTTCTGTGTACACTAATGATTGCACAATGATAATATTGGAATGTGAAAGTGGCGGTGGTGTGTAGAGTGTAGCATGTGGGGATGGATGTGTCAGTGCGCTTCTGAAGGCGTGAAAATTTGTTATGCTGTTTGAACAAGTGTTTTCCTTATGAAAAAAAATAAAAATAAAAAAATATAATGAAAATGTTTATAGATCGTAACAGTCGTCGGTGTATAGAAGTAGCTATATCACTGTCAAATGGTAAAAGGTCGCGCGAATTTTAACACTCAAACGCTCAAGGACTGACAGGACAGAAATTTTCTTTTGAATAAAATATTATTTAGCGAATTATGTCGTATAAGTGCTGAAGTTCTATTGAAAGCGTAACTGATTAATATTTGCATGGTATGATGAATTTTGTTTGGAAACAGCGCAGCTGCTGTTGACATTTTCCATATATTGTAGATAGACCAGAATTTCTTTTAAGGTTTCACGTTTACAACACTTGTTGATGCACAAGAAACAAATTATGTTTTTTATTTGCTCATTTGAATGCTTAATTCAGTTTCATTCTATAATAATAAATGTGAAAATTTCTTCCGAGATACACTTGCACATTCAGACCCCGGGCCGACCCACACATTCTAGCAACCGACAAACATTTAAACTTCAAAATTAGTGACTAATTATTGAAACCATAAAACATGCACATAATCTGGTGTGACTTCCACATCTCCACCGAATGGATGACAACTAATAATATCTGCTGTTCACACTATTATAGTTTTTTTTATTTATTCAAATATTTTTTTTTGAATTCCGCTTGGCATTTCATTGGCGTCTGCAGTAGTTGGGGCATGTGAATGGCAACTGAATTATAGCCTAATTAATTACTTGTTAATTTGTAGCATGTCAGTTGCCGTCCTCATCAAAAAAAATCTTTTGTTTTTTATACGAAATGACTTGAAACCGGCACGACATACCCGCGGCGTTGTAAATCGCGTGTAACTAAATGCAGCACAGTTTTTTTTATTAGAACTATATCTTTATTTATCTTTGAGTTAAAAAGAAAATCTATAAAATTTAATTACCCACATAATTGCTTTTTAGTTTTCTTAAGAAAATGCAAAATAGTTCACAAATTTAACGCATTTAATAAAATAAAACATAAAACCGCAACTTAACTTATTCACATTCCCAATAAAATCTGTATCTGATAAATCTGATTTTGAGGTAATTTATTAAAATGTTTCTTTTAATACTTACTTCTGAGTTTTTCGAGCGGCTCGTGTTTGGGTGTGTGTGGCGGTACGACAGCATGATGTGGATGCTGTGTATAGCCGCTGACTAAATCTTGTCCGGCACTATGATGTAAATGACTCAAGCTACCGATCGGCATTAAGCTCGATATGGCGGGTGAAATACTAACCGAAGAACTGGAGTCATGTAAACTGTGATGATTGTGTAAGTGTTCGGCACCAGAATTATTGCTACCATTCACGGTGGAGCTGCCAGTGCTACCACTACTCAAAGCTGTACTGGTTGTGTTAGCACTTTCAGCTGAACCGGCTGAACCAGCACCAGCAGCTGTACCTGCACTAACAAGATCCTGTAAGCATAGGCCAGTCGATTCTTCGAGACCATTAAGTGCACCACCAGCTCCAGCACCGGAACTGGTTACTACTCCGAGCCCTCCGCCAGCAGCACCGCCGCTGCTGGCTCGCTCCATACCTAAGTACGTTGGAAAAATGGTGCTAAAGCTTTGAGCCACAGCCTGGTGTGGCTGATGGTGATGCAGCGTAGACTGTTGGTGATGATGTGGATGTAGAGGCGGCAGATGATGATCTCTGCCGGAGAACTTCGTCGTGACGACGTCCTTAAAGTGTTGCAAAAATGTAGTCGTCGTCTTGAGGCCGGTATCTTACAATGTGCGCACAAGATATTAAACACGTTTTATGGTTTTTGAAGAAATAAGCTTTACTTCAGCTTAAACTGTAAAAAAAAAACAGAAAAACAATACTTTTGATATTACATTTTATTTAAAAAAATTTATATGTTAAAATTTATTTAAAAATAGTTATAAAAATATATTTATATATATATATATTGAATTATAAGATATTATTTATATAATATAATTGGATATATATAATGTATAATATAATTCGAACAGTTTCATGTATTCGACCATCTCCGAAAATGCAAAGCTTAATATCTTGAAACCTTAAATAATACTTAATTTTCAAAATAAGCTATATTTAATATTTAATATTTTTTTTAGTATATTTAATATTTTAAAGAAAACTGGCAAATGCAAAGTTTATTAATGAGTGATATAAAAAATTTTCAGTTTTTTTTTAGAATATATCTTAAGTCAAATATAATTTAAATATATAAATAATATTCTACACATATTCTTATTTATTCTTATTTCTTTGTTTTTACTACATAATTTGCACATTTCAGTTAAAGCTTGGTTAAGTTGAATGAGTATGTGAAGTCGCAATGCAAATGCAAAAACTAGGTACATAAAGAAAACACCAAATTTGCAACAACAACGATGTTGTTTCTTGTACTACGTGAATTTGTTTGTAGGCACAAATACATTACAGTGAATAGTATAGTTGATAGTGAATTTTAAGTAGAAACGAAGTTATTGAAAATTAAAAGTTACGTGATGGCAATACCAAGAAAACAGTAAATCCACTTCTGATTTAATATATGATCATAATACTTGATTAATTATATTTCATATATTTATATATATTTAATTACTTTAGCATATAATGTTGTTGCATTTTAATATAATGTTGCATTTTTGAGTTAATGTCTGATGTAATTACATATAACATAATATTGACCAATTTTTAAATTTTGTTTTCATTATAAATTTTAAATTCTGTTTTCGCTCAAAAACAGTATATATAATTTCCATAATAACTACTTTTTACATCACTCGTAGGTCTATCTATCGTTGATCTCGTACATCATACGCTCATACATCTATCGTAAGTTCTTAGAAAAAAATAAATCAATCACTTGAAAAAACTTGAATGAATTCAGGAATTTAAAAATTCTATAATAAAAGAGTACTTCTTAGAATATAATTTAATATAAACTATATTAACAATAACTCAATTCTAGCAATTATAAAAAACTACAAAAGCTTTAGAAATTATTTAAACAATTCATTTGTTGTTGACTAGACATATTTCCACACCAGCAGTAATGAGCACATCATTCAACATCTTAAAATCAAACAATTCTCTTCAACAATAAATATAACAAAATGTTAGATAATATATAAAATATTTGCAGATAAAAAGATACTTTGATACGAGTAACATGTTTGCTGAAAGTACCTACATTTTTGCTCCTTATCTCTAAATGAGTTTGTTTAATAAATTTACAAATAAAACAATAAGCTTAACCCCAACAACACCAGACCTAACACCGTAGAGACGCGACGAGACGCCAAAGGGGTTAACTCAACACCAAAACATATCACATCGCCGGTGATGATGTTAGTTATAGACCCAGTGCTGGTGCTGGTGCTAGTGCTGTTACCGGTGTTAGTGCTAGTGTTAGTGTTGGTGTTGTTCGTGGTGTTGCTATCTGACAACGTTCACATCGAGCGCTATCCGGAATATGCGTACATATATAAACTTCAGAGCTAAACAATCTTGTCACTACCTGAAGACACTACTAACCGGTACATTGCAGTAGACACATCTAAGTTGGATTGTAGGAACAGACATTCACTTTGCAATCAGTGCAGCTACGTAGAGCGTCTTACATCGCTTTCAACGACGCTGTGGCGTACCCGTTTGTGGTG